GAACCACTTGCCGCAGGAGGCGAATCTTAGCGATAGTACACACGACTCGTGCAGGTGTAGCTGATACTTGTCGGGATTGGAGGCGTGCAACACCTCTACGTTCGAGTTCTCCATGCCCACAGCTAGCCATTCTCCCGTGGGACAGTAACCTAACGAGAATATCTGCGACGTGAAGTCGTGTTGCTTCAGCTGTCTTCCCTCTCGCAGATCCCAAGAACGCACGGTGTTGTCCAATCCGCCGGTCCACAATTTCGAACCATCCGCGGAGATATCGATACAGGAGGCACCGTCTGTGTGACCTTGGAACTGTCTGACCAGAGACTGATTCTGGAGATCCCAGACGGCGATGCTGCCGTCGCTGCAGCAGCTGAAGCAAACCTTCGAGTCCGGCGAAATCGCGAGAGCGTAACACGCAGGAGCGGAAGAGATTAATTCGGCCTTGATCCTTGGGGTTGGACACGCCAGATCCCAGATACTCAGCCTGCTGGCCTCACCGCCGACTATCAGCGTCCTGCCATCCGGGAGCAGCTTCACAGACCTGCACACGTCACGTCACGTTTCCGTGTTTACAGTGTGGACAATGTATAGTCTTCTGTCTGACAACAGCGTGACCGGTAGGCGTCGTTTTTATTTGATAGCAATCGTGTAGAAATATGACCCACTTCTCCGATGACGCGGTGCGGGAAAAGGCTCAGTTCTTTTCTGAGTTTCGTGAGGAGACGAGATTTTTTGTCGAAAGTGGCGTAGGTGGGAAAATTTGCGGACAGCGAGGATTTTTAGTCAAAGGTGAGGTTCATTGGGAAAATTTGGGAATAGGGAGGATTTTTGGCCTAAATTGCCGTATTTTGGGAAAATTTGTGAACAGGGAGGAAATATGATCGTTTTACCAACGACGCGTTGGAGAAAAAGGCTCAGTTCTTTTCTGAGTTTCGTGAGGAGACGAGATTTTTTGTCGAATGTGGCGTAGGTGGGAAAATTTGCGGACAGCGAGGATTTTTAGTCAAAGGTGAGGTTTATTGGGAAAATTTGGGAATAGCGAGGATTTTTACTCAAAAATGACGTTTATTGGGAAATTGTGCGAGTAGGGAGGAAATATGACCCTTTACCAACGACGCGTTGGAGAAAATGGCTCAGTTCTTTTCTGTGTTTCGTAAGGAAATGACATTTTTAGCCAAAGTGACGTAAAAATGGGAAAATTTGCAAATAGTGAGGATTTTTGGCCAAAATCGCTGTATTTTAGGAAAATTTGCGAATAGCAAGCATTTTTAGTCAAAATTGTCATATACCTAAAAAATTTGGGAATAGCGAAGAAATATGACCCTTTCCCAATAACGCGTTGAAGAAAAAACTTCAGTATTTCTCTGACCTTCATAAGGAAACTATATTAAAAGGGATCGCAATTGGAACAATGTCACCTTCTTCACGTCTAATCTTCATCCACCAATAGATCCCCCAAAACAACAATTAAACATCTATCAAAACCGCATATTCACTACTGTTTACCAAAAACATTACGTTTAATTACATTTTTCAATGCCAAAGTTTCGATCTCGTTCCAATAAAAGAAAGGTGAGAGAAATTCAGATCAAAGCTTCAAATTTAATCCAAATAAATACAACAAATCACCAACGATCCACATATAATTGCCCCCATTTACGAAAGTGTCAAATCCTCGATAGATCCGTCCGGTGTACCAATAAAAAACAAAAAAAAAAAAAAAGAAGCACAGCTAATGT